CATAAGCATAAACTGTTGGCGCTCCGCGCGGATTTCTTGGATCTGCGCTGGGCCCCCCAAGTGTCCACTAATTGTTTCCTTCTACCATCGTTCACCGCGCTTGCTGTCCAAGAAGATAACACGCCATAGGCATAAACTGTTGGCGCTCCGCGCGGATTTCTTGGATCTGCGCTGGGCCCCCCAGAGGGGCCTTCGGCGCCGCCCCTGGCGCGCTCCGCGCGCCGGGGGGGGTGGGTCCAGCGTGGATCCAAGAAATCCGCGCGGACCGTCGAAAGTTTGTGGTTATGCAGTTTTCTTCTTCTAGGCTCAAGGTGGCTCGATGTCTCTTCGCACTTTGCTCCGATACCCAACCGGAGAGGTCCCCGATTTCCGGGACGGCGTTCTTGCTCGGGACGTTGTCGCATGTCACCCAGGGGGGTGAACGCCCAGCTGCGACGACAACGCCTCCCGCTCGAGGCCTGCTCCTTGCAGTTTATTTCGAGACGCCCGGGCCACAGAGGCTTCCCAACTCAGGAACGGCCTCTCTGCCAAGAGTCCCTCGCAATGCACTAGAAGTCGGTGCGCCGCCCGCGGGCGCGGTCGTTCGCATGACGGCCGTGGCGGCGCGGTGCGCACAGAGTGCGCTGCGGAATGGTTCTCCCAGGTGCTTGTCTGAAAAGTAGCTTGCCCAAAAGGGGCTTAGTGGGCGGGCAGAACAAAGAGGGGCAAACAAGTCAAATTCGAGCAGCCTGCCAGATCATATTTCCAAGAGATGATCGTCGTCGTCGTCGTTGAGGTCGTCGGCGTCGTCGGCGACCATGCCCAATGTGTCGCTCTTGTGGAGTAAAGGCGGATCTTACTTGTTTCGCCCTTCCTGCGTTGGCCCGTGACAAATAAACCGATGTGCAAGAGCCTCACGCCATTCCACCGGCCCCCCAACGAGGAGACAGTTGCTTCCGTCTTCGTGTGTCGTGTTTGGCATTTTCCGTCGTGTTGCTTGCGTGTAGTTGTTGCAAACGCGTCCTGCTCTTCTTCCGCGTCTGCTGCGGGGCTTCTTCGGGCCTCCTTGAGTTGAAGGCTCCCCGGGATCTTTGGGGGGGGCCCTCTGGGGGCTTCCGGAGGGGCTTTGGATCGTCTTGACGGTTGTTTTTTAGAGGGCGGTCGGACCTTTTTTTGGCCTTTTGGGCCGTCTTCGGCTTCCATCCGCCCGCAAAGGCCAGACCACGAAAATCATTCAAACTTGATGGAACATCTGAACATCAATCCTTAGTGTCTCTTGAGGCTTCTTCGGGGTCGTTTTGGACTAGCCTTTTGGCGCCTTAGGCCGTATTGAGATCATGAGGCCTCGTGCGCGCTGGAGTCCGCCTGGGGCACTCGTGGACAGCACGCTGAGGGGCATGGTGGCGGCCACGGAGGGTTGCTTCCGCCCCCAGAGGCGCGAGATCGTACCCCCAACCCCTCCACTTGGATGCTGGACCCCACGGGAGGGGGAAAGAGGGAGGGGTGACCGCCAACCGCTTTTCACACGCCTTATCACCCCTGGTGAGCGGGACTCCGCGGATTTGCCCGCTCCATGCGTTGCCGCTCGAAGAGCAGATCGAGCTCGCGTTCACTATTCGCCCCCCCCAGGCGTTGCCACCTGACGGGTCGAGCAGAATACGATTTGGCGTCGCCCCCTTGCATTGCCATTTGACGAGGCGAGAATCAAGTAGTGAGTATTCCGTATAATTGCATATGTTGCCACGTGCACGTGACGGATACCGCAGAATCGCAGTTTTATCCGCCCCCTGCGCGGCCACGTGACGAGAAGAGTAGAGGGATAAATGAGTACCTAACCATGTTCTAACGATTTCTGTTGGGTCCTCTTGATCTCTTCAGGACGTTTCTGGATTCCGAAGTTTTCTGGCGGGCCGCCAGTCTTGAACAGACGTTAATGAAACACGCAGTTGGAGATTGGATCTGGGCTGTAGGTTCCGGATAATGCAATACCAGGTGCGCGAAGTACTGGCGGATCCTGCATTGCCATTGTATGGGTACGTTAGGTTCGCTTCGTGTCAACCGGCGGCGACCCCGCCGACGGCGTTCAGCGTTGAATGCCGCAGACGACCCAGAATCGGTCGATGTTGAACGATCCGACGTTTCGGAAGCCGCCGATCGTTCAAGGTTGAACGATCCCCTCGGTGTCAGGAACCAACGCCCTGGTCGTCACGATACGAATTTGCTGTAGAGCAGAATGCAATTCGTTTCCGCCCACCTTGCCTCTCCCCCCCCCTGCCACGTGGAGAGAATACTCGAATAGCATTGTTCCCCATATTCTAAGATGGGGTTATTGCTATCGTGTAGACGGCTCCGAAAACCTCATCCTCACCTTCTCTTCCTCCTCTTCCTCACTCAGAGGCACTCACACTTACTCGTACTCATTAATATTCAGACACACTCAGACTCAGACTCACTCGTACTCTGCCCTGCACACGCACTCAGGCTCATTCACACCCGCACCCACTCACGCTCAGACTCACTCACGCTCAGACTCACTCATACTCAGACTCACTCTCAGACTCACTCATAATCAGACTCAGACTCACTCAGACCCACTCATACTCCAACACAGCTTGCGTTCGGAACAGACTTGGAGGATGTCTCAGACGAGGCGCTGGTTTCAGCACTCCCAGGTGGGAGCGCCAGGGGGGTAGTGGCACGGGCACGTTCGCGCCCAGATGTTGGCGAAGTCTCAGGCGGTTTGCTTTTTTTGCGTGCCCAACATCGCCTGCTTTCGGAGCAGTCTGTGAAGATGTTTCAGGCGAGAAGCTGGTTTTAGGGGTGCCAGGGGTGTATCCCACGGGTTGGGACGAACACCGGGGAGGACGAACACCGGGGAGGACGAATACCGGGGAGGACGGGACGAGAAGGATGAGACAGACGTCTTGCGACGACGACGGCGGTGGGGGCAGAGGAGGAAAAGGGGGAGGAAAGCGAGCAGGAGGAGGAGGAGGAGGAGGGAAAGGAGGAGGAGGAGGACGAGTAGGAAGAGGAGGAGGAGGAGGAGAAGGAGGAGGAGGATGAGGAGAAGGACAACGGCCTGTCTGCCCCCATGGTCTCCCCAGAGCAAGAAGGCAGGAGCAAGGAAGACAACAAAACATAGGATGACAAGGAGCAAGAGGACGAGGAGGAGGAGGAGGAGGAGGAGGAGAAAAAGGAGCAAGAGGAGGAGGAGAAGGAGGAGGAGGAGGAGGGGGACGATGTGGAAAAGGAGGAGGAGGAGGATTCGACCTGGATTAGAGCGGGTCAAACGATTAGCAAAGCCCCGTTGATTTACTACCGCGGGAGCGGGCCCGCTTCGGGCCGTCCCCGAGCCACACCCCACTCCTCGCACGCCTTGGCAGCCCAGCTGCCATTGCCTGCGTTCTGTTTTCGCACGAGTCGGGTCCAGCACTGTAGCTGAATGTGGCTCGCTCGAGACTAAACTTGGGCTCCAGCTTTGCCCCCCGCTTCTCGCAAAAGGCTTGCCCAAATCTCTCCACGAAATGGGCTCCAGCTTCACCCCCCCGCTTCTCGCAAGAGGCTGGCCCAGGAGCCCCCTGCCATGTCGCGCCGACGCCCTCGGGGTGCACCGATCCACTGCCCCGACTGTTCGCCCCAGCACTCGTTGCGTTCCCACACGAGATGAGTCTAGCGCTGTAGCTGAAAGTGGCTCGCTCAAAACTTGTCTTGGGTTCCAGCTTCGCCCCCCGATTATCGCATGAGGCTCCTCCAGAACTCTCGACGAAATTGGGCTCTAGCTTCACCCCCACGCTTCTCGCAAGAGGTTGGCCACAGAGCTCCCCCCTGCCGCTTCGCGCGGAAGCTATCGAGGTGCACCGATTCACTGCCCCGATTGTCGCCCCTGCACTTCTCGCACGCGCTGTTTCTAGTGGACTTCGCTAGAAGGCCATCGGCCTCTAACTTCACCTCCCCCTTCTCGCAGCCGTTTTCTCGCAGCGCCAGCGTCCGCTGCCACTGGTTGCCCCCCTTCTCGCACGGGTCGCTCCCGGCGCTTTATTTGATCGTGGCCCACCCACACGCTTTGCAGCGCCAGCGTGTGCTGCCACTGCGCGCACCCTTCTCGCACGGACTGCTCCCAGCGTTGTAGCTGATCGTGGCACATCCGTTCGTGCTCGCTTTTCCCTCGATCCCAGCACTGTAGCTGATCACGTCGGGCTCTACCTTCGCCTCCCGCTTCTCGCAGTTGGGCGTCGGCTTTAGAGGCAGGCTCCAGCTTTGCCTTCCATTTCTCGCATAGTAGCGGTATAGGGCTAGACTAGACTGGCCTCTGGCTTCACTGTTGGGTTCCAGCTTCGCCTCCCGCCTCTCGCAGTGAGGTGTGGCATCTGACTCCCAGTGTAGCGTGCCCTGATCGCCGCACTGTGACTGACGGTATCGGGCTCGACCTTCGACGGCCACCAGCTTGGCCTCCAGCGTCTGATGCGGAGTCGGCTGTAGCTGACGGCGTTGGGCTCGACCTTCACCACCCCGCTTCTCGCAGTGAGGTGTATGGTCTGGCTCCCGCTTGTGACCCTGAGCCCAGCGTTGTAGCTGCTGACTTCGGCTTCGTCCTTCGTCTTCTCGATGGATTGCCTGCACTCTGACCGCGGCGCCGCAACTATTGGCGCCCCGGTTTGCCAGGAGGTGGAGGAGGGGGAGGAAGGAGGGGAGGAGGGGGCGGAGGGGGGCGGGCTTCCTGGCGGCTGCGCGCTCGCCTGGTCTCAGCGTTGCAGCTGATGACGTTGGGCTTCGCGATGCTTCTTGACTGAGGCCTGGCCTCAGCATTTCTTCTTTACTGCTCGGGCGCGCAACGCCACTGCGAAGTTGGCGCGCCGCATCGTCCAGGAGGCCCGGTGCAGGGGAGGCCGCTCGGACGCGAAATGGGTAAGGAGGAGAAGCAGGAGGAGGAGGAGGAGGCGGAGGAGGAGGAAGAGGAGGGAGGGGGACAACGACGATAATGCTGACGAGCAAGGGAATCCTATGCGCCTGGCCGCCCTCAGGCCGAACCCGAGCCGTCGGAGCGCAACCCGGGCCGGCCTCCGCCCGGCGAGGATCGGCCGCCGCCCGGCAAGACCGACGCCGACGACGGATAATGGCAGGGCAGGAGGAGGGAGGAGGGTCCTGGGGGGTTCTCGCGGTTCTTGGGGGGGCCCTGCGGGGTCCTCGGGGGTCCCAGAGGAGTCCTGGGGGTTCCTGGGCGAGGGAGGAGGGAGGAGGAGGAGGAGGAGGAGGAGAAGAAGGAGGAGGAGGATGGAGGGCCTGTCTGCCCCCATGGTTTCCCTCAAGAGAGAAGGCAGGAGGAAGAAGGACGACAACAAAACATTGGATGAAAAGGAGCAAGATGACGAGGAGGAGGAGAACGAGGAGGAGGAGGAGGAGAAAGAGGAGGAGGAGGAGGAGGAACAGGAGCAAGATAAGGAGGAGGAGAGGAGGAGAAGAGGAGGGAGGGAAGGGAGGAGGAGGGAGGAGGAAGGAGGAGGAGGAGGAGGAGGAGGAGGAGGAGGAGGAGGAGGAGGAGGAGGAGGAGGAGGAGGAGCGAGGGGGACGACGACGATAATGTTGACGAGCAAGGGAATTCTGTGCGCCTGGCCGCCCTCAGGCCGAACCCAAGCCGTCGGAGCGCAGCCCGGGCCAGCCTCCGCCCGGCGAGGATCGGCCGCCGCCCGGCAAAGGCGACGCCGACGAAGGATAATGGCAGGGCAGGAGAAGGGAGGAGGGTCCTGGGGGGTTCTCGCGGTTCTTGGGGGGGCCCTGCGGGGTCCTCGGGGGTCCCAGAGGAGTCCTGGGGTTTCCTGGGCGAGGGAGGGTGGAGGAGGAGGAGGAGGAGGAGGAGGAGAAGAAGGAGGAGGAGGAGGAGGCGGAGCAGGAGGAGGAGAAGGGACAAAGGAAGATGGTCCACCCAGCTGGGCGGCCAGGGCCGCCCGGCCGCGCGGCCGGATGTCCCCAGAGCAGAGAGGAGGATTCGGGCAGGAGAACGCCTCCCTCTTTTCTCCCCACTTGAGACGAACGAGCAACACGCACACACGCACACGCACACGCACATGCACCCTTCTTTCTCCCCGCTTGTGACGAACGAGCAACACGCACACGCACCCGCACACGCACCCTCTATTCTCCCCACTTGCGACAGACGAGCCACACGCACACGCGCACGCGCACACGCACACGCACACGCACACAAAGACGCACACGCGCACGCGCACGCGCACGCGCACGCGCGCACGCGCACGCACACACGCGCACACGCGCACACGCGCACGCGCAAACGCACGCGAACGCGCACACGCGCACGCGCACGCGCACGCGCGCACGCGCACGCGCACGCACGCGCACGCGCACGCGCACGCGCACGCGCACGCGAACGCGCACGCGCAAGCGCACGCGCACGCGCACACGCGCACGCGCACGAGCACACGCACACGCACACGCACACACGCACGCGCACACGCACACGCGCACACACACACACATACACACACACACACGAATAAACACGTGCGCCCACACACACACACGCACACCTATATACCCACGGGGGGATCCGAGGGAGAGGGCTGGCTACGGGTATGGGTTGTTAAGCGTTCGTCATCTTAGATTGGAAAATATAGAAGTGAGGTTTGGGGGGGAAATGTTGGTCTTTGGTGACTTCCGCCTAGCCCCAGGACCGTCAAACAACGGCTCGGGGTGGTTACCGGTCCCCGTGGACAGGCGTCCCTACGTATTTCGTGGGGCACACGATGTGAAACAGCAGAGACATGGCACGTCGGAGTTTGTGTTCTTCTCCCCACCCAATTCGTCGCCGGGTCCTGATGGAAAGTGGTCCTGCGGCGCACTCAGAAAACAAATTGGTCCTGGGGCGCCCCGTGGAGTGTCCGACCGTCTGATATCTTCGTCGGCTTCTACTCTGGAGGTCGTCTTCCGGTCTCCGGGCCTGACACGCGCCCGCCGCCTTGGCAACGCGAAGGCGGCCGGGAACGACAATCGCAGGTGTGTTTTGCCCCTCGGCCTGGGTCAGGCCAAGAGGCGGGTGATGATTAGGGGTGGGGATATCATGGCGTGGGCCATGATATTTCCCAAGATTTCATGGCGCCTCTTTTTGTTTCATTACGTCCCCGGCCCCCCTTAGGGCCGCGCGCATGCCGCCGGCCGTGGTTTGCACCCTCCCTGTTGGACGCCCCCCTCTTGGCCGACCTCGAAATAATCTCCAGATGTTTAAATCATGTTTTCAGCATGTCGTAAACATGTAAAGCAAGATGGTTTCAGCATTTGGAGAACATGCTTCAAGCATTTTAAAGACATGTGTAGTTCGATACTAGAAAGGTTAGCGTGTACATTGTCATGGCACCCAAAGGAAAAACTGGGTCCCGAGGTTGTTTGGCAGCCTTTGGGCTGCCGTCCCCAGGCCCCCGCCCCAGGCCACCCCCGGGGGCGGGCGCCTCGGGACCAGCAGCTGGCTCTGGGGAGGGGGCCGAGGTGTCCAGGGTCCTTTTCCTCATGCTCCTTCTCCTCCTCATGCTCCTCCTCCTCCTCCTCCTCCTCCTCCTCCTCCTGGGGACGACGACGACTGTGTACCTGCCCGCGGCCCCTGGCCACGCCCATCCTGGGCCCAGGAGCGGTGTTGATACAGTGGAGGCCCATGCCGAGAAACACCCCGCTGGGCCTCCCTGGGCTCCCTGGGTTTCCGCGGTGTCGCTGCGGAGAGCGTGAGGTTCCCACCATCCGAGGCCAGCAACATATGTACACGTCCGCGGTTAGCGTCCCCTGGAGTGCGTGTCAACGCGGACGTTCGTGCAGGAAAGACCGCGGAGGGCGTACATGTACATATGTCGTTGCTCCTCCACACCAGACGGCGATGGACGTCCTGGGGTCTCATGGTTGGGTTTCGTGTGGAAAGTTTCGTGTGGACTAGCTTCCCTTGTATGCCTTCCCGGCCAAGCCAGGATCGGCGTCACCCCAACTTAGTTTTACTATATGTGCGTCGCCCCCCAGCGGCGACGCGCGCACCGAGAAATCTTATACTATATGCGTCGCGGCGGGCGCTTTCTGGCCACACCGCTCGGGAAACGATATACTACAAGATGTGTATACTATATGCTCGGGTCGGACGCGCACCTCCAAGGAGAACATATAGTATTAGTATGTCTCTGTGCTTCCCACAGGAGGGCGTCTGCACCGCTCCTGGTCCCTGGATGGGCATGGCCAGGAGCAGCGGAAGTGTGCAGGTCTCGTCGCTCTGGGCCCGTTTCCCTCGGGACCCGTTCGCTTCATGACAGCATCTGCCCCCCACCCCCCGTGCCTGGACAGCCGTGCAGAAGAGCCCACTCAGAGAGAGCTGTCCTCGGCGGCGAGCGAAGGGGGGGGGGAGAATGAGAAGGAGAAGGCCTTCCCACAAGGCGGCGGGGCCTTGCAGAAGCTCTCGCACCTCCTGAGAAGTGTTCTGTGTCTTCGGGGGAGGCTGGGAAGACTATCGGAAGACCCGGGGACTTCCGAGCCTTCTGATAAGGCCTGCCCCTTCTCACTCCCCCCCCGGCTCGCCGCCGATGTCCACTGCTGGAATCGGTTCGGCTGCGGTCTCTTCCAGCCCGTCGGAGGCACGCCCAGCTTCAAAGCGAGGGAAGGCGGCTGACGAGCCGGTTGCGCGAGCTGTCCGATTCGGGTCAGCTCCACCCCCTGTTTCTCAGGGGCAACGTTAGGGGGTGGACCGGCTCAGGGATGGGACACATCGGCCCCCACCATGTGCCCTTTTCATCGCCGATGGGGGCCCGACAGCCCACTCCGCCCAGAAACGTACGGTCTCGCTATCGAGGGCCCATCGCCGATCTTTCGGCGATCCTCGTCGATTCCGAGTTCATGTTTCCCCCCAGGAGCCAGTTCCCCCTCTCATGGTTCTCCCTCACTTGGGTGGGGGGCTCGGTCATCGATGGCAACCATCATTGAGGTGGGGGAGCAGGGGAGTTGGCCGTCCAATGCTTCACACGCCTTGTACCCCCAGCAGGCGGGGGCTGGTGGATGGGGGGCACTTGTGAAGAACATGACAAGTCAACCATTTCTAACGGTACGAATCCTCATACCAGTACCGAAAATGAAACGCTATATGATGTTTGGCTGCACTGGGAGAATGGGCTGGTGGAGGACGGGACGAGAGACTTCGGGGAACGAGCAGCGTACCTTTCATTCGCGTAGAGGATATTCGATACGGTGCTTGGCCGCACAGGGGACTGAATTGGCGGTAGTGAGCGACTGCGGCAGACTACGCGCTCAAATATTACCCGCAGGGTCCTCAAGACGCCACCCTAAATGTCCCAATTAGCCCAAGACGCCACTCCCAAATGCCCGCGACGGCGCTCAAGAGCACTTCCAGGCCCCCGACAGACCAGAAACCTTTAAGACGGCTCAATCAAACAACACACAGGAACATATACACTGACACACACACACACACACACTCTCTCACCCACTCACTCACTCACTCATTCACTCACTCACACACACACACACGCGCGCACGTAGCGCAGAATACTGCGCGCACGCACAACAAGACACGCAACGCACGGCAGCATGCAACGAACACATTACGCACGGTCGCGCGCAAACGCATACACCCACACACACACACACACGTGCGCAACACAGCAAGATCGCAGATACACACACACACACGCAATGCACACTCTAAAAAGGAACGCGCACTTGCAGCACACGCACACACACACACCTATAAACGTACACACCTACATACACAAAACGACCAACGGCGCTTCCCGTTTTCGTCTGGCCAGGTCAGTTTTCGTATACCTCGAAATTCCACCAGCCATCCAGTCGCAGGTGCTTTAGCGAGTCGCATCTCCAGCCCGCTTCTTCCCTCCAGGGAGGGGGATGCACTCCCCCCGTCCCGCGAACGGCGGACGACTCCCCCGTCCGCTGACTGAAGCCTTCTGGGGGGAGTGCTTGGAGGCTTCTCGGGGGCCTCTTGCGGGCTGCTTTTGGAGGCCTCTTGGGCCTTCCTGGGGGTCTCTCGGAGCCTCCACGGGGCTCCTAGGGCTGCTCCTTGTTTCGATTTCGGTTTTCCTTCTTGGTCTTTTCGAGACTTGGTGCGACTTGGTGCGACTGGGGGCCTTCTTGGGCCACTCTGGGGGCCATCTTGGGGGATTCGGGACAGTCTCCGGCCGCTACTGGGCCCACCTCTGGCCTTTTGGGCCTCCCTTGAGACCACCTCGAGGCTTCTGGAGCCTTTTCTGGAGAAGGCACACGTCACTGCTTGTCCAGAGGTCCCTCGGGGGGCTCTCGTTGGGCGTCCTGGGGCCATCCGAGTCTGACCTGGAGGCTGTCTTGGCTTCAGTCTGGCCTGTACCTCTACAGGGGGGATATTCCAAAATTGTCAAACAATAACCAGGGGACGATTGTTTGATTAATGCTTTGGCCATCGTTTGAGCATGTTTTGGTATTTTTCATCTTTCGCCCAAGATCCACCTGTAGGAGGACATGCCCGACCGAAGTCTTGGCGTGCCTTGCGTCGTCTGGTCTCGCCTTGTCTGGTCTCGTCTCGTCATGCTTGCGGGCTGGACCTACACGGTGTTTTGGCGCTGCCGTGGGCCGTTCTCGTCTCGTTGTCGTTTTGCGGTGGAGGCGGATCGAAGATGCACGAGGGAAAACGAGGCCGAAACCGAAAACGAAGAAGCACACCGTTTAGGCTCAGCCCCGCCGCTCGTCCTCGGCCGCCTCCCGGGTCAGGAGGGGAAAAAACACACAGACACAACTAATCCTCGATTCCCTGGAAAATATGGGAAAATATGGGAAGCGGGGGGGAAGACAAAAACCCAGAAAATATGGGAAAATATGGGGAATCTTTTTATTTGTGTGTGTACTTATTTGTGTGTCCTGGGGCCCCTTCACTGGGGGGGCACCTCTGGGCCGCCCTGGAGAGCGGCGCGGTGCGCAGCGTGCCCTCGCGCGGGCGCGGGCGGCAGGGCCTCGCCCGCCGCGGCGGGGGGAGGCCCACGCCACAGCACCTTCCGCACTCCTCCTCCTTACTCCCTCCTTACCCTCCTCCTCCTCCTCCCTCCTCCTCCTCCTCCTCCTCCTCCTCCTCCTCCGCCTCCGCCTCCTCCTCCTCCTCCTCCTCCTCCTCACTCCCTCCCACTTCCCGATCTGCACTCCCGCGGCCCCGCCGCACGAGGAGGGCATCTTCTCAGGAGGGGAAGGAGCACACAGACACAAGGGAGTCGTCGACTCCCAGGAGAATAATGGGAAACGGCGGGAAGTGGGGGGAAGACGAACACCCCGAGCCTGTGGAAAAATATGGGCAATCAGGCTGCTTGCGTCGATTTATTGGTGTGTCCCAGGGCCCCTTCAATTTGGGTGCTCTTCGGATCGAATTCCTGGTTGATCTGAGGCCTGTCTCGGGGGCGGCCTAACCGACCCCTCGCAGACCATCCCCTCTGTGACGTTCACCTCGTCTCGTCCCAAGACCTGTGTGTGTGCGGCCGGAGGGAAGCTTGGAAGGCGAGGGTGGCGTCACAGAAGGGGATATTTTGATGGGTGTCGGTCAGGGCGTGCCCGATTGTCAGAGGTCTCATCGGGGGGCCTCTGGGAGTCCTCTCGGGGTGGCTTCCTGGGTGTCTGCTGAGGCGTCCAGCGTACAGGACCGCTGATACGTCGGTTGGGGCCATCTTCTTGCCAAACGAGGCTGCTTCAACAAGCTGGGTCACGATGTCCAGCGTGTAGGACCGCTGACACGTCGGTTCCGTGGCTGGGGAAAGATTGCAGTGGCCAACCTTAGTCTTTGTTAGGAGAAGCCCCCCTTTGGTATGGACGACTCCCCCCTCAAGAGGTTAGAGCGTCCAAGACTGCCTCAGGTGCCTCAAGATCTTCTAGGTTCTTCCGATGGCTTCCATCATGCCTCCGAGGGACCCCAAGGCCTCCTCCACGAGACGTCCCGAGATGGCCATGGGACTTCCGAAAGGCGACCCCGAAAGATGGTTCGCGCCGTGTAGGGTACGGCTTGAATGAGGAGCACTTCTTTTTCAAAAGGGGCTCGGCCATTTCTTCGGATTGCATGCGTTCTGCTACCTTTTTGGCGGCGAGCCCCCCTGGTGTTCCTTCAGATGTTGGACGCGCGCCGCTAGAAAGGGGCTCGGCCGTTCCTGCGGACTTCGTAGACTTACTTGGAAAAAAGAGGTTTCCTTCTTTATCGTTCCTTAGGTCAGGCCGTATGTGGAAATGCAGCCGAAGTGTCGCAACCGTGTTCTCCAGGAGCAGACTTTGTCGCAACGGCGCGTCCTTCGGATATGCGGCCGAATTGTCGCCACCCCGATTCTCAGCCGAGGCCCCGCCACACATTTACCCTTGCAATGGCGTGCCGCATTATTGCAATTGTTATGATTTATCCGAGGAGTTGCCATTCGTGCACTCTTCCGCCCACGCGTCCTGCCGGATGCATGGCTCAGTGGTGGTGGAGGCCAGGCCGTATACTGTACTGGAGGCTCGTTTCCGAGGGGAGC